CGAGTCCCGCTGTGACTCGATGTTTCGACACTCCCGCCATTTTTGCTTAATTCTGCCTTCACAATTTCTCAATCTCATCCTTTCTTTTGTAAGACTTTCTGTCAGTTATCGAAAAGTTAGGTAGCTTTGTTGTAAAGCAAATAGTCGCATATTCCGAGGAACGCTAAGAAAGTAATGGGAGCTGGTATCGCAATAGTGAATTTCCGCTTAAATCACGGGGACCACGGTAAGATGGCGGACAGAAGCTCATTATGTGAACTAATGGTAAGGGGCGCTAGTTGAAACATTTGTGAAGGAAACAGCAGAGAGAAACCGTCAAGAGGGCCGTAAATAGGATCCACTTTACACCCTTAACATCGTACTTGTTTATGTCATACCATAGAGGGGGGGGGGTCTCAATTAAGGCTTTTCAAAGAGTAAACAACTCAAAGTGTGCTGTAATGAATGTGATGTTCAATTCGCATGTTTTCTTCTTACTGTAGCTGGTGTGATAGCTCATAGATAAGGGCAGACGTATTGTTGCAGCGGTGTCGTAAATTTTCACGTATGTGTGCAGCCGACGCAAAGGTCGAGTAGCACCGGGTTGCGAAACGAACTCGGGGATTCGGAGTTTGAAACCTAAGAGCTAAGGCTGAAACCTCTACACCTCTCTGTTTTTTCACGAGGCGGGGCTGACATGATGCCAGAAAAATGAATTATCCGGAGCCAACACACCAGGGGACTCTTTCGAGGTCCAACGAGCTTAATACCGCTCCTGCCTTCACGATCGCCAAACGTATTGTTAATCAACTATTTGGTAGGTTTCATTGCCAAACTTTAGGGGTAGGTGGCGCAGTTTGTCGACGGGGGGCATTTTGTTTTGCATAGATGTGTCGACCCATCTAGGTAGCCGTTTCTCGAGTTGGACACGTTTAGGATAGTGGCTTAGACAATCTTATCAGAGAGATTTGTAAACCGTAAGTAGGAAGCAATGATAGTACAAAATGCCCCCCCCGTCGACGAACAGCGCCGGGGTAGGTTAAGGATTTGTCGTTAGATCTGTACGTCGTTCCTTCCGCTGGCACAAGTCTTCTAAACCACAAAAAGCACCTAAAAATGCAGCTGTGCCGATTTTCTGCAGATGAGGCGCTGAAAACGGAGTTACTGGGAATTTCGTTACTCGAGGAAGTGTGTGCTGCAAAGAGTCTCTGATCGTTCCTGATATTTGAGCGCAGCATACTCATTAGGAAGAAAATGTTCTACTGCGGCAGTTCGGGATAGGCAGAGGGCTTAATCTCAAACGCTTGGCTTCAAATCGCGCTATTTGTCACGATCATTACTCTTTTAGCACTAGCGCAAACCTAAAAAATGTAGATCAAGATCAATGACAGAGGTTCGGCCAGGTTTCATATTATATGAATATCTGCTTGGCAGAAGGTCTAGTACCTCATTAATGTGTTTCTGGACGAATTTCGCAGTTTCACTAGCATTATTTTGTTTCAACTTTCTTTTTTTTCTAATTTGCATGAGCCCATTATTTTTTTCGGACGTCAGTTCCAAGGAACAGAGGGGATCCTTTTCATCTATCGGTCTTTTGTCTTGTTGGTCTCAGTTGCATTCATATTTCCTTTATGTGGATATCTGGTCCAGTGCTAGTGTTTTTCCTGTCCAACCGCGGTGGTCTAAATTGCTGTGAGTGGCTCTCGAATCGGGGGCTGTTCGGCTGCTTTAGTAATTGCGGGCCACCTGTCACCATGCGGCGTTACGCTAATTATACTATTTGAATAGATAACTGTCTCTCGGGTGGCTGTAACCAGTCAGCAATATATTACGGGCACTTAGAAGAACGCTGCGTAATCTGCGGCCAGCGCCATTTTAGATTTGTTAATTCAACTGGAGGATTCAAAATGTCCGGGTAGGTAGATTGTTTTGACAGCTGTACTTAAGAGCTGGGCTTTTGGCTTTAATAGTCAAGGATGAGCTAGGGAAGAAGTGGGGTTTTGGTTCATTTTTTGCGTTCCTTCTAGTACGATTGGCTATGGCAAAACTCCTGGCTGGCCGTACGGCAGGGAGAGGCGGAGTATGATGTCGGCACCGGAGTATCACTGACATCCATCCCGCTCCCGTATTTCTGAGCGCTGAGTGGCACGCTACTGCGGCAGTGGACCCATTTTCCCTGCAACTGTGAAGGTCCAGCATCCACGAGCTGAGTGAGCAGTTTGTTTTTGAAGACACCCCCGCGCTCAAGTAGTACATGGTCATCCTTCCTTGTGCAAGTAGTACAGCCCCCAAGCTAGAAACTGTCCCACTCTCGCGACTCCACAACGAGCGAGGAGCAAGCTACAGCCCCTCAAAGTTTGGACCGCCTCACCTAGATGCTCCGACGGAGGGCCGCTCAATTGTTCTTTGTTGGGGCGGCGGGCATTAATCGGCATTCATGTCCTTTTCGCTGACCACGCTCGTGCCCATAAATAATTCTTTCCTTTATTACATTTTATTCATTAGCAGCACATACAGTCAACTTCATCCCATCTCGCAAGGTAAAACGCGTAAAAATCACGAGCGACCCAATTTTCGTGGTGCAAAAGCTCGACGCACTAAACACACTAAAAGATGCACGCTACCGTAACCCTTAATTCGGACGCCGAGTTTTTAAAAGTTTATTTTCCTTTTCAAGAGTTTTTCTTCCGTGTTTTTGTTGTTTTCCGTATTTTTTTTTGCATTGGATGATATCCATTACTGGGAGATGCGAAAAAGGGATTTGTGAGCCAGGGGTTGCACAATGACCGCAGGGCTGTGACTGACAGGGAGCGATCTTGTTTATGGTGTTCTTGAGAACTCTTCTTGCTTTTTCTCTTCTTTGGGAGAATTACTTATCAGCTACTGTTTCATAATTGAAAAGCAACTATCCATGACACTTTTATCGCGGGAGCTGTCTTTGAGTGTCCGCCCTGGCCATTGGCTCGGTGAAACCCTTCTCGTCTCTTCTTAATGAATAAGATTTTTTTGCAGTCGAAGGATGAGGTACGCAAGATTGTTCCTCACACTTGTTTCCTCGATGCCCAGCGCGCCTCAGTGGTTCTGCCCGACCACCTGTGGGTTTACGGCACCCTTCATTTCTAAGAGGTCAGTGCTGTCCCTTGTCCTCGTTGTTGTCTTCCAGCTCTGCGTGTGACCACGGAGCAGGTGTGCAGATTGCTAAAGCTCGCTAGCTCTGCCTCCGAGGTAACTTTCCAAATTTCCTATGGCCGGTTTCTCAAAAAGTAGAGTATCAGCAACGAAAAATCACCGTGATTTGTCCTTTTTGTTTTCATCGGCATTTACGGACACTTTTTCAATGATCTCGTGAGATCTCGTAAATATTAGTGGTGAAATAAATGTGAAGAGTGAATGGTGATAAACCCGTGACCCGAGGTTAGTCTGGTCTGTGCAATAACGCGCTTCTCTCCATTGACAAAGCATTGCGATGATTGGTGGCGGTGAAAAACGGAAAACAAATGACCGTTAGCAAATATTATCGGGCAAAACAACCGTACAGTGATCGAAGCCGTGCGTTTTGCAGCGGATCGCCTTGGCCCCTCACCAGGAAGCTCGCTCGCCTTTGATTGTACCTTTTCTTCACAAAGGGCAAGCTTCGCTTGAAAATTGATTTTTTTGGCGGAATATTCTGTCTGGACGTCTATGGTTCCTGATATTCTGCGTATTTATTTACTTGTTTATTTTCACGTATATGTGCGAGTTTTATACCGTTTTGCTTCCCCGCCAGGTAATTCCAACTTACTTGAGGTAATGGAAACCGGGCGCATTACATAGAGGGGGCATATGACTGAGCCGTCGTATGTGTATCTTTTCATTTGCTCTCTTTTTACTGAGCTGAGCAAAAGTGCTCCATACCTGAAAGATGAACAGGGCGTGACAGCGTGCTTCATTCAAACGTGGTAGCAGCAGCGCTCCTTTCTTATTGTTTTTTTTATGATTCTTTTACGATGTATTCATTCATATCGATAAAATGAAAAAAGCGCCGTTTGGCTTGGGAGGGCATTCCGCACTCTCGCTTTCCTGTCATTACACGTCTCACTTTTGCAAGACCTGTAGACTTGAAAACGAAGCTCTTGCCTGTACGACTTACCAAGAATTCACAGAACTCCGCAGGTGGCATCGCCAGTTACCGATTGGGACCAGCAAAGTGCACCCACCAAGCCGAACAGCGTCAAAAACGTACTAAGAAAGTCAGAGAGAAAAACTTGTGGTATTCGAGCTGGACGTGCGCCCTGTACATGGGTGCCCCTTATACAGTAGAAAGTAGGAATTTTTTTTCTCAGTGCTTTTCCATGCGCAATTTAGAAAGAAAAGCCCAAATATGGAGGGGTGTCTCTTTCATGGAATCGATTTTGCCTGCTTGCGGTGGGCCTTGCACTTTTCATGATCGATATTTTTAAGTACCAGTTGGACATATAATAGTCGCCGCCTAGAATTGATTTATCTCTGCAAATTATACATCTTGTTGATGCAAGTCGTGGCTTTTCTCTTTTCTTTACTAGCTTTCTTCTACCCTCTCCATTTATTTTTCGTTTTTTTTTCTTTAATGCCTTCTCGTCCCGATTACTGCTACCGTATACCGTTTGATCAGTCCTTCCGTTTGAATCGTGATTTCAATGATTTACAGAGAAAAAGTTCCTAAATGGCTCGTCGGCCGTATGATTTGTTGTTCAAACTGTTGCTCATCGGCGATTCGGGTGTGGGAAAGACGTGTATTCTTTATCGATTTAGCGACGACGCCTTCAATACCACATTCATTTCCACGATTGGTTAGTAAGTTTACTGAATGGATTTGTGGCGCAATTCGGCAACGGGGGTGGCATTTTGCACTTTCAGTATTTTCACAGACGTGTTCGTTGGTTTACAGTAGTTGACAGATATTTTTTTACGAGGGTTTATCAGGTGGTCTTTGCAAACTTTGACTGGTTCCGTCACTCCATGGCTTCACAAGTTTTTGCAAATCTCTGCTTGATGGCTCGACACGACAGTGGGAAGCAGCGAAAGTACAAATTCCCCTTCCCCCCAAATGCCAAATTCGGCCGGATTGTTAGCAAGGATCTAAAAATGTTTCTAAAGGATTCTATGCCAGGTGTAGGCGCGATGTCTTGCACCGTTTTCAATCAAGCGTACAGACAGGTGACATGTGTTTCTCCGGAAGTTCCGGCCAACCGCTAAGGTAGACCCACAGGTGCAGGTGGCGGGGTTCTAGACGCGCCAAAGGAGAAAAAAGCTCTTGGTGTTTGAAAATTGTGCAAATAAGATTTTTTATTTCCCTAGACGGGATAGTTCAAATGCACCGACCCTGGCTAGAAAGCCTAAGGATGGGATCAGGGTGGAATTTGATCCTCATGTACGTGGGAAGCTGTGCTGCCGCCTCTGCACCTCGGCCCTACATCTGCCCTTTTTTGAGTGTTACTGTCGTATAGAATAATAACCCGTGATAAGGATAAAGGATGAAGTCTTTGCTGTTGGTCAGTTTTTTCGATACTTTTTGGGTCGCGGCACGCATCCTACTTTCATTCAGAGTCATAGTCGCTTACGGAATGCCACATGGCCTATACATTGCGGGAGTGGCCCAGCCGATATACAAGTCAGCGCTCTTGTACTCGCCGATGAATCTACTACCAATTTACCCTTCCCGGAGGGTAAAAGGGTTGTTTGGCCTGGGCGTGAACACTGATATTTCGATAAAAACTCGGAATATTAATTCGTGATCATGAAGGTTGAAAGTTGAAGACCTGTGAACGGACTATGCACGGAGGGGTGGTGTTGGTGAGGAAGAGAAACAGGAGGGGTGTGAGAAGACAGGTTTTCTTCCAGCGATTATTTTCCAATGGTTTCTTCTGTCTTGTGATTTTCCAAACTCAGAAGGCACTCAGTTATCCCTTCAATTTTGACTTAAGCTTGAATATGTCGCTTGACACGGGGTTGGGTGTTAAGAATCTTTGGTTGGGGGCGTTCAAAGGGGTACGCAAAAATAGTATTAACTTTCGGAGAGCTTTCAGTATGGTGACCTCTGTTTACCGTTGCAGTTCGCGCTCTGAAATTAGCGCGAGTTCAAGTCCCGCCTAAGGTCAAGACTTTTGCCCATAACTCTGCATTGTTTTGGTTGGGGATGACGTCATCTATGAGAGGTACAGTCGTTTGAACTGGTTCAGCCACTCTTGAACTCCTTCCTTCCTTGCTTCTAGGCCTAAGGAGAAATCCCCATCTCCATTACAGTCATTTTAGTTTTGCACTTGGAAAATCCTTTAGAAATCCTCTCCTCTAGGGTTTGAGTGTCGATGGTTCGATTGATAAGGACTGTTCTGTCCTTTGGCACAAATCGTGCGAATAGTCTAGGGAGGAAAAAAAGAACAATAAAATCAAAATAGGAAATATGTTCCCCTTTCAACAATTTTGGTTTTGTAGAGGTCGAAAATTTCCGATTTTTTTTCTCTTCAGGAATTGATTTCAAAATCAAAACGATCGAATGAGAGCAAGAAAGATAAAGCTGCCAAATCTGGTAAGTTGGTTATTGCCTGGTATTAGTCTATGCGTTATCTGCAAACCAATCAAGCGTGAAATTTTGATGGGCTGCATATAGCAGCCGAGATATGAAAGCATTGCTTTGCAGGGATACAGCAGGTCAGGAACGATTTCATACAATAACCACATCGTACTACCGAGGAGCGATGGGTATTATGTTGGTGTACGATATCACAAATGCAAAAAGTTTTGACAACATTGCCAAATGGTTACGGAATATTGACGAGGTAGCTTTGAAATTTCTTCAGTGTCGTAGTCATTTTAACTTTTTGATCGATGTCTGAAGGAGTCTTTTCTGGATTCCTTCAAAAACAAACTTTACGCTATCCTTCACATATCCTGATTCTTGCCCTGTGCGATGTAAATGCACTGGAAAAGGGGGTGTAGGGTACTGATAGCCGCATGACGTTTCGAACTTCATCCGCTGACGCAACATGCCGCACGACGAGGCCTTCGCATGACTATAGTCGAGCGCGACACTTGTCCTGCCCTGGTCGTAATCTATACTGCCGCTGTTGTTCATGTTGCACGCTGGGACCTCCGTATCGAGGCACATGTCGGCACGTTTTAGATAGCGTGCGAAGTCCGGAACGGCATGTGGCCATCACTACCCGTCATCCCCATCCCCGTGCACTATTGAGAAAGTGGCACGCTACGACAGTTATTCATTCACCTCGCAGGTAGCCAAAGGTCCCCCAGAAGGTTACAGTAAGTTGGAAATATCCCCGTTTTGAGTATCATTGGTGCCAGGAATCAAACATGTTTTTTGTAGTGTCCTAACATAAACTATAATTTTTACTCGGAGACATAGCGCGATTGCCTGATGGATCTTTTCTTCGTACCAGCTAGGTTTGTACGTAGTGGAGAGGTTGCCCACACATTCGGACCTCCTTCGACAGCTGTTTTCCTCAGTGAAAGTCCAACTGGCACCTACAATCTCTCATTTGGACCCCACGGCCCACCACTTACATTTCCGGGAGATGCCTTTGGTGAAGCAGAGGGATCAAGTTGGAGGTGGAGTTTATGAATGCAGAGTCGTGGAGTTGTTTTTTCACAGCTGAGCGACTGGTTTAAGTATTCCATCCGCGCTTTGTCGGTTGTCAGGCATAATATTTGTTTGAGAAAGTCGTCGTCCTGTCTTGAAGAGCTGTTTACCTGCGAATGTCAATGATGGGGTCCATTAAGCATTCCAAAGCTTGTGCCAGGGTTTTCCAAAAATTCCTTAGAATATTCTTCGAAGATTACTAGATTTATCATATATTCGTTTCAGCATGCCTCTGAAGATGTTGTTAAAATGCTGCTCGGCAATAAGTGTGACATGACGGAACGAAGAGTTGTGAGTCGAGAGCGGGGAGAAAAAATTGCGAAGGACCACATGATAAGGTGAGTTCTATTAGCCTTATTTGCTATTAGCTGATTTATTTTGCTTTATGAAAGTTGTGATGACGGGAAAGGTGTCGATACTGTTCGGCGAGGTGGGGGAGGGGGGGGAGGAGGGAAAGACTCACCCATGCGCGTATGCGGCGCGGTTTCTTTACGGCGCGCCGCGCGGCAAAAGGCGAGCGAAATGGGGCGATTGGCCGGTGTCCTTCCGGCGCTGGTGCTCCAATCCAGGCAAAAAAACAGCCCCTTTTTTTTTTTTTTTAATGTGGAAGGAAGAGGAGAGGAAAGTAGAGAGAGGAAGGGAATTGAGCAGATAGCGGGTGCATAGTATGTGAGTTTGTGGTAGGAGATCACAGAAAAGCCGACTATCACGAATTACTTCAGTGAGTGGCAGAACTCGCGGCATAGTTCTTCGATTGTGAAACGACTTCCAAAAGCAGCTTTTTACGAACGAAAGTTCGAGCTGAGGTTTGGCAAACTGCCAATGGTTGCTTGTGACCTTACAACGATATAACGTCACGTCCCATTTGATTCTGTATTCTTGCTCACCATTACCACTAACATCACAGCCTAATGAGCGTTCACACATATTTGTTCAATCCTCTTTTCTCTCCTCCTCCTTTCACATAATGGGGCATAAAAGGGGCTTCTAATTGAAGCAGCAGTGGCGGAGGCGCAAGCGATCACCCTTCGCCCGCCCGTCGCCGCGGTGCCGTGAAGAAACCGCGCCGCATACGCGCACGGGTGAGTTTGTACACGGAGCCGGGGGAGGAAGACCACTGGGCTACGCCCTAATCACCCTAATTACCCTAAAAGGCTGAGGCTTAGAGTCCTCACAACCAGTGTCGCGGAGGGGCAGTCCTGCAGTGAAGGCTTGTCAACTTGTCAGCTCTCGTGAAGAATACCCGTCAACACTTGTAAAGCAATGAATACGACGATGGGAAGTAGCGAAAGTGCAAGATACCCCCCCCCCTTTCCCCAAGCCCAGCTGCGCCCTGATCTTCATCGAAAATTGTTCAAACTGAAGTAGCTACAATACCTCTCGCACTATTGCTTCTTAACCTGCAAAAGGGGTACAATCTGAGGGGATTTTCGTCATATTAGCGCACCTTGGTCGGGAAGGCAGATTATGTGGGAAGCGGTGTAGAGAGCGAGTTGTTAAGAATGAGGTAGTAATATTCAGAGTTGAAAGATATTCTTGTTTCATAGTTGCTTCTGGAATTCAGGTTCCTTGAAACGTCAGCCAAAGCTAATATTCATATTGACACAGCATTCTATGAGCTGGCTGAAGCGATTTTGGATAAGGTTAGTCGTTTTATATCGTTCTGTACTGAATCTTCCTTACCGCTAACCTGTCCGCGACGATAGCCATGTCCATTACCAATATTGGAATCTGAGTGGTCCAGTTAGGAAGTGCTCAGTAGTAGCGACTGTCAGAGAGGCCGTCCTGGTGTTGGGGAACCGGTAAGACTCCCATAACAGACCAGTTATTTTATTAAACGTCCTCATTTGCCTTCGAGCGGGGGAGGGGTTGAGACACCTCCGATCAACTAAGAGGAATAGTAGTTTTGTCTTTGAGTGCGCGTGAAACGGTAAGAATCAAATGTCAAAATCAGAACAATTTCCTCCAATCGTTTATTTCCTCCCCCCTCCAGCGACCAAATACGACCCCCGTTAGCGATTTCCAATGTACGACGTGCCCTGGTGGCCATGTTTTCAACGACGCAGTGGACGTCCTCCGTGATGGACATCGTAATGGATGG